TGTGCTCAAATTCATGGTGATGAGACAGAATGGATTGATTTGAAAACTGCAAAGGAGGCCTATCCAATTCAGGTGGCCAAATATGCTGTTGCTAACAAACTTGTATCTGAGCCTGCTTTCTCTTGGTGGGTTCCTTATACTTTGAAGAAGTGTGATAGAATTCTAAAGGCTGTGAAAAGAAGAGCCTTAACTCGCAAGACTGAGAAATTTGGTTTAGAATTGCCTGGTTCTGGTCCAAAGGGCGTAAGATGTGCCTACAAGATTGACGCCAACACTGGTAGCAATCATTGGGGAAATGCTGTTGAAAAGGAAGTAAAGACTGTGTTGCCTGCCTTAAGAATCTTGGGACCAAATGAACCTGTTCCCCCTGCATATACTTGTATTGACTTGATAACTGTCTTTGATGTTAAGATGGACCTCACACAAAAGGCCCGGATATGTGCTCAAGGGGACCAAACTGATCCTCCTCTTTTGGTAGCGTATGCCAGTGTTGTCACTTGTGAGAGTATTTGTATTGGATTCTTGCTTGCTTCGTTAAATGGTTTGGATATCTTGTCTGCTGACATTGCTGGAGCTTATTTGAACGCGCCTTGTGCTGAGAAGATTTACACAGTACTTGGACCCGAGTTCGGAGACCTTGAGGGTCGCATTGCTGTTGTGGAGAAAGCACTCTATGGATTAAAATTATCCGGGTTCTCATGGAGATCTACGCTTTCTAAGACTCTGAGAGAAGAAATGGAGTTTGAACAGTGTTGTGGTGATATGGATGTTTGGAGAAAACCCGCCTTGAAGTCAAACGGCAAAAAATATTACGAATATATATTCGTTTACACCGATGACCTTATGGCTGTTTCTGAAAATCCTCGTGCTATATTGGAGAAGCTTGGAACACATTACATGCTCAAGTCTGATTCAATTGCAGAGCCTACAACATTCCTTGGTGCAACAATTTCAAAACGTTTTGTTGACCCAAGTGATTCTCGAAAATGCTGGTCGATTGGTTTGACTAACTATTTGCTTGAAGCGTTACGTGTCGTTAAGTCTCGAATCTCACATCAAAAATACAACTTGAATTTGAAAAGAAACGTGTCTGCTGCCTTACCTTCTGGTTATAAGCCTGAGCTTGACAACACTGATTTTGTTGACGCAGAGACACACACACTGTATATGCAACTGATTGGAATCTTACGGTGGTTAGTTGAGCTTGGAAGAATGGACGTTTGTGCTGAAGTCTCAATGATGTCTTCGTACAATGCCATGCCTCGTGTTGGACACTTTCATGCGGTATTACACCTTTTTGGTTATCTTGAAACACATCCAAGTCGCGAGATTGTCATGGATTCCGCATATATGGCTCTGACCGACATACCAAAATCTGAATGGCATGAATTCTATCCATGGGCAAAAGAAGTACTGCCTCCTGATATGCCAGAAGCCCTTGGACGAGCGGTAAAGATTGTGATGTTTGTTGATGCCTCACATGCTTCCAATCTTGTTACATGTCAATCCAGAACAGGTGTTCTTATCCTCTTAAATCATGCACCGATCGTTTGGTATTCGAAGAAGCAGAATGCTGTTGAAACAAGTTCTTTTGGAAGTGAATTTGCTGCATTGAAGACTGGTGTTGAATTGGTTGAAGGTCTAGTATACAAATTGCAAATGATGGGCGTACCAATTGATGGCCATTGCCATACTCTTGTTGATAACAACTCTGTTGTGATGAACGCAAGTCGCCCGGAATCTGTCTTGAAAAAGAAAAGCAATTCTGTTGCTTATCATTATGTTCGTTCAAAATGTGCAAGTGATCTTATTTGGGTTGCTTGGGAAGGAACCAAAACAAATCTTGCCGATACGTTGACAAAGATTCATACTGGTAGAGAACGTGCTCGTCTGATGGGATTTATTATGTATGAAGAAGACAAAATTCCGAGAGTGGTACAATCTGCGATCTGAAAGGTTCTGGTAGTCACAAGTTTTCCTTGTCTATATTTTGTCCAGTAATTGATCTGTTTTGGCTGACTAGCAGCGCATTTTAACGAGATTCTTCACCAGTGATGTCATCTGCTTGCAGTTTTTTTCTCAATGTTGTTTTTGGTTCTGTCCTGGGCTCATCGGAGAAACGTTTTGATCACTTCTGATTGTGTAGAATTCTATGTGCAGGATCGTGGTACATTTGGACGGAGCGTCTAGGCTTCAGGTGCAAATATATGGCAGATCCTAAAATCCCAATCCGGAGAAACTTTTTGATGGGATTCTAGTCCAAATGTATGGCAGATCCCAAATCTCAATCCACACCGCCGAAATAAAAACAGAAACAACACAAACATGACAATCAACTACAGTTTGCGCAACAATGGACTGGCGCAACAACCAACTGTTCCCATCGTACCAACTGGCAATATGGAAGCCAAACGACAATGCATGGGGCACAACAAAAAATTTCTACTGATGACGATGGTAACAAAACTGTGTGTTGGTCTAATGATGACTTTGTCGGTAAGAAGTTCATAGACACCGTCTAGGGCGCACATACATCATCAACTTTGTATGTGAAGACGTCCCTAGATGGAGGAAGATGGTGCCTAATGGCGTTATCCGGTGCCAAATTCAAACTCAAGCCCTATCATCAGGATTTGTTGCTCTTGGGAAACTGGCCTTGGTGGACCCAGAAAGCCACAAAAAAAACCGACAATACACCAATCTCATCTCTGCATATATTTTGAGCAAGTGCGTTGTTAGCGGAAGAAGAATTCGACCATTGGTATATAAATTTTGACCAATATGATGAGTTGGTTTGGTAATATTATGAGTTTGCTCCGTTTCGGCGGGTCCTCCTGGCACCATGGAGATAGAAACCCAAACAACAACCTGCCAGTCCCTTTTACTGCCTCTATATAATGGGCAAAGGATTACTGGACCTATCAATAGATTCGGCCTATCCTAGATCAAGGCGCCTAAGCAAATGGGAAGTTTGAATCACATGTAAGTTTGTTGCCCCAAAGCATGATCTGGAGTGAACTGGCCGAATTGTTGACCAAATTGCTTTGAATTGCTTTATTTAAACTAATATTTCTTGCTCATTGATGTACTTGGCAAGGTTGATACATTGGTATAGGGTATCTTGAGGTAGAAATGTTTCCGCCGCACTCACATAAGTTTGATGATCAATTTGGCAAACATTCCTGATGTAGCCAAAAATCTCTTCGAGTCCACCTCAAGTGAATTTGGTTCTTGGAGCATTTCCACCAAGAATTCTCCCGTTCCAGCCAAACCAGCATTCTTAGACACCAATATTGGTGACAAATATAATATAGACTAAAAAAATTGAATGAAGTTAGAACAATAGGTGGGCTATTTCAGAATTTGCATCTAACTTGAATCTTTTCAGAGCTGCCACCTAATTTCTGGATCTAGATCTAGATCTAAATAGAATCTACAGGCAACTCATGTAGAGCTTTATCCATCAGGATCCAAAGAAGTGGTTTGTGTATTGTTAAGTGGGTGTTTGCTATCATAGCGGCCACTGAAGTTGAATTTAGTGGCAGTAGGTTGCAATAGAAAGCATACACCAATGGCTTATCATCAGGAGGTGATGAAATATGGCATGGTTCATTTGGGTTTTAAAGGTCACAAGTGACAAACACAACAACAAACAAAGGGGAAGGTTCCTACTAAGAAGGGTACTCTGAAAGTAGGGCATGGTTAAGTTGAATGTCAGAGGTCGCAAGTGACAAACAAAGTGACAAATCATAGAATGCTTCATAATCACATGGGCTCTCTGAAAATATCGCCTTCATCAATTCTAGGGGAGGCGATCCAAGCCCCAAAAAGACACGCCCTGCTGATTTTGGGGCATGGTCCCTTAAATATCAACTGACTTTCTTTTCCAATGAATATCATTTACATGATTTATCAGGCCCAGCAATAACTGCTGAAAGTTATTCAACAAACAAAAGTGAAAATGAAATGAAAATGAAAAAATGAAAACTACAACAACAACAAAACGGCATTGAGCGTACTACAAACGCTATGATGGGTGACACAACACCAATGGCAAATGTTAAAATGAATGGGTGCAGCAGCATTGTTGGGATATGACAAAATATGAGTTTTACTAGGTCAGACAAGTATGTATATGTTCAAAATGAAAATACAAAACAAAAATAAACAGTGAATTGGACGATTCATGAAGAAGAGTGCTGATGCTGAGTATGATTTCTTGGATTTCTGGGAAGCGAATCAAAAGTTCTTTGCTATGAAGCAAGACAACCGAAAACTTGATGCATTTCAAGGAACGATTCTTGAGACAGGCTGAAGTCCTGCAAGATCTATATGGCGTGGCCTGGTTCCGAGATTTTGCAGTCAAGACGAAAGCGTATGCTGCCATTGCTAGCACCGATACTGCTGCTCAAAACAAGTTCAAGGATGATATCTTTGAAGCCATTCTTGCAACAGGTTTTCTATGCAACAGCGATCAAACGAGAACAGCTCCTCTGATGCTGGATCTTCAGACGAACTATTGCAGAGAAGTGGATTATTATCCAAAGACGGTCAGCAAAGCACAAGATATGTTGAAAATTCACATGGAAGTGAGTAAAAATCCG